TAAGGTTTAATACACACCACTTTTGGAGGTATTAGGTTAGTGGAGTTCCTAGGGTAGCCTAATTGAAGACTTTGAGGCTTGGGGCTGCGTGATTGAGAGGATTTGGAGATTTAAAATATTCTCCATACTCCGTAACTGAAAAACTGGCTAAAACGGTACGCGCTTTTTTGCCCAAACTGTTCCGAATTTAAAACGGATCGCATATATATATATATATATATATATAAATATATATATATATATATATATATATATATATATATATATATATATATATATATATATATATATATATCAAAAAATGCGCCGCATCCATCACTCTAGGGTTCCATCCCGGCGGTGACGCCATGGCATCGACGACTACCCAAACTGCTCCAATCTACTCCAGCGATCGTCCCTCCAATGGCTTCACGCTATTTTTCTGATTCGTTGGTCTCTGGTGTCAAGAACCCGTCGAGATTCAAAGGACTCCCGTGCGTTTCCTTCAACGAAACCGAGGTGCGCAATCTATGTCAACATCTAAAAAGAACCCTAGTTGGTTCCTTTTGCTCTGGATGGCCATCGATGACCTTGGTTAGGACATCTTTTGAACGAATTGGTTTTTCTTCCACTCCTAAGGTATCTCTCCTTGACTCTTCTCATATACTCATTACCTTCTCGGAGGAGAAGGACTTTCTCCGATGTCTTCTCCGGAGGACCTGGCGCATCTCTGGTTACAAAATGAATGTGTGTCGATGGACTTGTGATTTCTACCCTTCTATCGATTCACCTCTTGCTCCTGTCTGGATAGGTCTAGAGGGTCTCCCTCTTCACCTTTTTGAACCCAATGCCCTTTTTTCTATAGCTAACCTGGTGGGTCTCCCCCTCCAAATGGATTCTACCACAGTGAACCTTACAAGACCCTCCGTGGCAAGGGTGTGTGTCGAATTGGACCTGACTAAAGATATGCCTAAGGCAGTTTGGATTCACCTTGGTCAATTATCCTTCCTCCAGCCTATTACATACGAAGATTTGCGTGAGTATTGTATTTCTTGCCGGGCTATAGGCCATAAAAAGTGCAAAACTCCTAGGAAATCTTCTAGATGGTTTAGGAGGGAGGGTAAGCTATCTAGCAGAAGCTTGAATGATTCTGTAAAAGTTTTGGTCATGCTGTTGATATTTCTGCTGCTCCGAGTTTTGCTGATGCTACTTTTGCTATTCCTAACTCTTCAACTAAGACTCCTGTCTCTACTGATGCTTTACTTGAAGGTCCTTTGCCTCTTGTACAAACCTGCAGTGATGAAAATGAGCAGGCTTAGGATCCTACCATCCTAATTGGAAAAATTCAATGCACCAAGGATGCTTCACTACCTGTTCCTACTGTTGCTGAAAATCTATTGGGAAAGGATGTTGCAATTCCAACTGATCCCCTACTGTCTGGTCATGTGGTTGCTGAAAGTTTCCTGGGAAAAGATGTTGTAAGTCCAACTGATCCCGCGCCACCCCTAACTGTTTTTGAGGAAAGCACTGTACTCCACAGCCCCCCCTTCGTCCCTTTACCTGAAGTTGTCCACACACATGTCCCCTTAATTGCAGATTCAAATGTCCCTGATGCTTCTGATGCACACAGTACACTCCGAAAGGATGTACTGGATGGCTCACATGACAATTCAGTTTGTGGGGATGATGAAATTATTTCTGACCCAAACATTCCCACTCAAAACCGTTTTGTATTGTTAACTGACCCTATGATTACTGAGATTTCTGAACAGGGCACCCCTAACTCCACCCCGCTCAAAAGCACACCTACAAAAGAGGAAGCTCACCATGAAATGTCAAGAATGACAACAAGAAGATCAAGACCACCCATAATTGAAGGCTTCATTGTCGACTGTGTGGGAGAACCAAAACTAGAATGCGAGGGATACAACGGGCCATTTCTCTTCCTAGGCCCTCCAGGATCACCGAGGGAAGATGGAAAAAGGCCACGAACAGCAATACCTACCAAAATCTCACCTCATACCATGGTGAACGTGTGGATTTAATTTTGGGCTGCGTCCCTTGTTACCTTGTATTATTTGTCTTTCATTGCTCTACCACTTTTGGGTAGACTCACCCATTTCCTTTTTGGAGCGTTTGCTCCCTCTTGTATGCCTTACTTTCTCTTTAATAAAAACTTGTTTTTTCAATATATATATATATATATATATATATATATATAGATTTTGGTTCTGGTGAGAATGAGATCTTATGAAAGAAATAAGAATGAATCTCAGCCATTGGATCGAAAAAGCTAGATACGCATATTATCAAACTGAACAAGGGCAAATAAGTATTTACCTCTTATTTACGTTTCTCTCTGCAATCCTCTCCGGGAAATCAGTGCACTTTAATTTCTCTCTCGTCTCTCTCCATTAACGTGAGATTCTCTTGCCCATATCTGACAAAAGATCTGAAATTTTCTCAAAATTTATGTCTCAAGGTATGATTATCATAAATTTTATTCTTTGTTTTTTTCTCATCTCAATTGAGAATCCAATAATGGTCTTTTTATCTTCCAAGCAAAAACATCGTGGTTCCTTCACAATTTCGAGTGTGATTTGTTCATGTTTTTCCACATTTTTCTTGTTCATGTGAGATCGAAAGCAATCTCTCTTCAATTCGCAGCGTGGGTTCTTGCTTTTTCTTATTTTTTGTAGTTCATGTCTAATCTTATTATGTTTACTCTTTTGGTAGATTCTTATAATTATATTGGATGCCTGAATTTGATATGTTTATAATTCAAATGACAAAAATTGATTTCATAGTTTCATTCACACATTCCTTATTTTAACCCTTTATTATATGATTTTATTCATTTGCTGGTGCAGTTTCTTACTTGGTATAATGTTAGTTTCAAATCTAGTAAATTTTAATTGTAACGATATGCATAATTGAAAGCACTGTAGTGCATTTTGTATTATTTGTACTGCACATAGCCACCAACCAGGATGATGTGCACAATTTTTTGTTCCCTCTAGTGTGGATTATTCATTATTATATTCATAAAAGGTTATTTTCATATTTAACTCTTGTTGTAACAACATGTATAATTTAATGCTTTGTTATGCATTTGTAATGCACTCTGAGATTGTAACTTTTGTATGGAGACAGCAATAAGGGAATAATGCATCTAGTCTATATTTTTTTAGTTTCTAATTTGTTGATTATTCTTTCTACTTACTCTTTATTTTTAAAATTTGATTTATTGGCTATTTTTAATCGTAATCCCATTTGTTTAGCACCAATGATGTTTTTTTCATATGTTCTTATGTTTGTTCTCATATGGTGTAATTTTGTTTGGCTGCAAATTGATTTTTTGTTGCTTGGTAAGTCTGATGTGATTTTGAATAGAGAATATGTTGATGGAAGTCTAATGGTTGTGCTGATGGTGATTGGGGCAATTGAACTTTTTAATAGTGGCATATTCAGTCTCTAGAGGGTTCATAGGCATGTTATTACTAGGGAGAGCTCTAATTATTGGATTTAGCTCACGATGTTGCTCCCTGATTTTGTTGCACGTTCCTTTCAGTTGACTTTATTACTCGACATGTCCTCCATCAGTTTCATTAAGCTTCAGTTGGTTGCGTTGTGTAATCTCTTGTTGCTGGGAGGTAGGGGCTGCAACTTTGATGGTCAAACAAAGATGGTCATTGTTAAAGAAGTTGGTGAAAGTGTTGTTGTCTTAAAATTTGCTTGTATGATGCACTAGTACATTTTCTTTTGATATGCCCTTTTCTTTTTATTTGATTTTTTTTACTACTGTGCATAACGACAATCAAGATAATGCACTTATATAATCAGATAATGCATTTTCAGATTAAGGTAACTGATTATATATTTTGTTACTGTGCATTCTCAAAATCAAAGTTGATGTATGAGAGTAAAAATTTACTGTCACAAATATGATGCATCTATATATTTTAGATAGTGAATGTTCTGCAAACAATGATGCATTTAAAATGTTTTATATCTGCATGTATTAAAAGACATGCATCATCAATCAGCATGTTAATTATTTTTTCGTGATGTACTCTGATTGATGAAGGATGAAATCATCAATTGGATTTTGAAATAAAGAACAATTGGAATATGGTGCACTACACTATAAAAGACAGTGCATTGCCCAACTAAAAATACAACAATCATAATGGATTTGTATATAGACATTTTTTGTTATTTTAATGATCTTAAGGTAGACCAAATTTCACATATATTCAGGAGAATATGTAACCAAATGGTGTTCCATGAAAGTAAAATTTCTCTCTTGAAAATGTCTTATGATTTTGTAGAGTCATTAATGCTCCACAAAAGATAAAATTAGGCCATTTTATTGCTTTTATGTATCTCATTTTAACAAATGTCTTCACTTTTTCTTGGATTTAGTTTATTCATGAGTTAGTCATTGCTTTGTTTGTATTTTCATTTCATATATTACTATGTTTTACATGTACCATAAATAAACTATTTTAGAACAACTCTTTGGTAATTTCACCTTGTAAACAACTCAAACTTGTAATGGGAGACAAATAACAAGGTTATAAGTTAATTTTAAAAACAATTGATGTCACATACATTTTTTATACCACATCTTAGTACCGTTCCTAGTGTTTAATTACTAACTAACATATACATGTATCACACAACTCAAAATATGCATCATTTTATGACTAAAATGCATCTTGTTTAAAAAGACCATATAGAATACAATAAACTTAATTGAGCGTGTCATAGAACATATGCACTAAACACATATTCAAAAAAATTGTACACAGTACTTATAGTACCCTTACTACCAAATCCAAAGCCAAATTAATTTAGTTTAATAAGTCAGGCCAATTCTACATTGTAGTTCTAGCAAGTGTCGTTATATAGAATCTCAACCAACTAACAGGGTTGTTTTCTATAAAATAAGAATGATATCAAACATTAATTCAGCCCTTCGCACTTTGCCCCATGTAGGCCACCTTATGATTTTCCCTCACAATCTCATCTCTTTCTTCTTGTGTTTCCACTTCAAGTACATAATTATCTCTAACAATTCTTGTCATTGCCACTAATTTCATCCATATATTCTTGAACAATGTGTGGAGGTTCTCTTTTTCTTTGACCTTTCATCATTCCATACCCTTTGAATCATTTTTGTCGTTTTACTTGAACCCTGTGTATTAAAAGTCAAAGTGATAACTTTAGTTTGGGATGAAAAGAGTACTTCAAAAATGCAACAAAAAAAGAATAAACATTTAGCATATGAGTTAAAGAGCACAAATTATGCATTTATTATATATGGTGCATATGAGTTTATTCTTAGTGCATAACTTCATGAAAATCACACTCACCTCTCAATAAGTTTATATTCATATGTGATATGTGTGTGCAAACTAAAGAAAAACAAGGCATAATAAATAACCATAAATTACACATCAAACAACAATAAAAAAACACAACATATATCATATATGTATCTTAGGGCAACGCAAATTTCTCACTATCCAATAGCATGCATTAGCTATACCAAGCAATGCATCTTTGAAGTTACTTAATGCATCTTGCATGAATACCCTTAAAATTGATTTACTTCATCTAAAGCTCTTCTCTTGCATAGAATTTTAAAGAACTAAAATGATATTCAAGGACCAAGGTGTACGAAAAATCTTTAGGTATTGCATTATTCAAATTAAAGAATGCACAAAATGCATATATTTCATTATAAAAAGTAGAAAATGCAAAATATGCTCAAAATGCATTATAAAAACTAAAGAATGTGCGCCTTGAATCTAATTGAATGTTCAGACCCATTTATATTAAAATATGCATCTTAGCAAATACAAATTGCATCCATGTACAATTTTTGCTAAATTCCACACTCTACACTGATACATACTCATCTCACTGCACAAAACCCCAAATTTGTCCAACAATATATTCATTCATGATAATTTTTCATATTTAAACCTAGAAAACCAAAGAAATTGACCTCCCACAATGCATTTTATTACTATCCATCTGTCAATGAATGCATCCAAAGACATGCAAGTGCATCTACAACAAAAAAACATTGTAACACCCACATAATCCCAAAAAAACAATTAAAAATGGTAAATCTTACATGTTCTTGCATAAGGGATCTTCGTCATGCTCATAGCAACCTTTTTTGCTCCTTCTCTTTCTGGTTCTCCTGTGGTTGCCATCTTCTTCACCGTCTCTCTCTCTCGTCCTTTCTCGAAAAATTCATGGCTATTGAAAGACCGATGAAGTGTTGCACCGTGATGATTATGGACTCTGTATTCTTAAAATTGGTAAGTGTGAATTGTGGGCTGCGTAGGTTTAGAGAGATTAATATGCCGATTTTTTATGCATTAAAAAAGACGGAAGTACCCTTCCATCTTCTATTCTCCTAATTTGATGCAGCGCATTTATTACTCACCTTATATAACCCAAATCAGTACTTCAATTTTTAGAAAAATAGCAGCCATCCGATGCATCCCATCAAACGATCTTACTTTATTCTCATTTCTCTCCACAAGGTCCATTCTTACAGGAACCGGCCCATATATATATATATATATATATATATATATATATATATATATATATGTAGAAGGAATATTTTCCAATAGAATATTATGGGAGATTACATGTGTTTATATACAGGAGTTTCCTAATGACAATAGGAAACTGTAATTAATGCACCCTAAACAAATATGGTAGCTACCAATATACAATAATATTAAATATAATATTAACATATTTAACATGCTCCCAACGGCACTAATGAAGACCGCCGCACGCCCAAGCAATCCCGAAACTCGGAGAAGACTATAGAGGGAAGTCCCTTGGTGAATATGTCGGCATACTGTAGGGAAGAAGGTACGTGTAGGACTCTTATCTGACCAAGGGCTACTCTGTCGCGTACAAAGTGAATGTCAACCTCAATATGCTTCGTGCGCTGATGCTTGACGGGATTAGCAGATAGATATACGGCACTGATGTTATCACAGAAGACTAGTGTAGAGCGACTCAGAGGTTGCCGGAGTTCCAGGAGAAGATTGCGTACCCAACTGACTTCAGCGACAGCATTTGCAACGGCTCGATATTCGGCCTCTGCACTGGACCGAGAGGTGGTGAGCTGGCGCTTAGAGGACCAAGAGATGAGATTGTCGCTAAGAAATATGCAGTAACCAGACGTCGATCGGCGAGTATCTGGGCAACCAGCCCAATCTGCATCTGAATATGCCCGCATGTGATCTGTGTGAGAGGGTGAGATGGTGATGCCATGGGTGGGTGTGCCGTGTAGGTAGCGCAAAACGCGCTTCATTGCTGTAACGTGTGGGGCACGAGGATCATGAAGGAAAAGGCATAGCTGCTGAACGGCATAGGTAATATCCGGACGGGTGAAAGTGAGGTACTGCAGAGCTCCCACAATGGAGCGATAGAGAGAGGGATCCGGGGCTGGATCGCCGGCCGCGGCCGAAAGTTTCCCGTGGGTGTCGACGGGTGTAGAAACCGGCTTGCATGCTGTCATACCGGCCCGTTCGAGGATGTCATAGAGGAACTGAGTCTGAGTGAGGAACAGGCCGTGAGAGGTCCGCTGAACATTGATCCCAAGAAAGAAGTGAAGGTCACCCATATCTGTCATAGCAAACTCCCCTTTTAGCCGTTTTGTGAGATGCTGAAGAAGGGCAGTGGATGAGGCTG